CAGTATAGAGCATCTGATAGATCACCAATACCATCAATTCATACACTAGGGGGTCTCACCTATCCCGCTATTAACCAAAGGACAACTAATACACAGGGTGCTACAAGTCCCCATAACCATGCTGTTATTAATAATCTCAGCATGACTGGAAGTTTGCCACAGACCAGGGACTTCTAAGGTGAGAGTGATTTTTTGCAAGACCATCCCTTCATAATAATGGAACTGTCCTGATTTTTGTTGCTCCAGTGTGAAAAAACAGAATGTGTAATGTTAATGCACAATATTATACCTATTATTTGTATCTCAGTCCAGACAGATTAACACACACACACATACATGTCTTACCATCGTTGTAACAACACACATTGGATTAACTTTTAATATAGTTGAATTAATTTTTATTATAGTTGCGATATGAACTCAATTGAAAAGCATTCCTATACAGGGTTGCATTTTAATTGGAGTTTAATTAAACTCAATTACAATACAACGTAGAATTGCGTTTTAATTAAGTTTAATTAAATAAAAGTTAAATATCCAGTGACATAACATAGAAATGTTTGTGAAGCTTAGCGATAGTAAAGGTATGTTACAATTATATTAGTATTAATATAAATTGAACCACTTAAGCTATGCAAACTTGACTCAAAATTAATATAAATTATGAAAATAGTGAGGGTTGTGACAATGTAGGTCTTGTCGTCACAAGTTGGTGCAAAGTTAAATTGAAGTTGTCACAACGTTGGTACGACACACGAAGACACATACATACATACATACAAAATTCACTGTAAAATATTATTAATTAACTCACTGCTGATCATAACATTTTGCTGGTTTTAGTTTTGCTCGTTTTTCACGACAAAGATTTCTTATCTCATTTGGTGATAACAATTTTACTGACCACTTATCCAACCTTGAAGAGATTCATAGTGTTTCCTCTTTTAGCAAGAACTGTTACATGTACTTAATGTGTTTAGTTTTCTAAACTTACATGTTTCGGGTGCTCAAGATTTTCTGATGAAAATGTGACTTTTCTTCTTTACTTTCTTCTATTACTAGTAGAGGGTCTGACAAGATGAAGAAAATCCCCAACAATTCATACTTCAAGAAACCGGCACAGCCACCCCCAAACCACCACAGCATGTCTATAAATCCAACGGGAACGATTCAGTCAGAGAAAAGTTCCCTTTATGAGAAGACAGCACAGTTTGACAAAATGATTAATGCTAATCTGAAGAAGAAAG